TTCTGATAGAGGCCCAACATCTACAGTAAATAAATAACCGAAAAACAAAAAAGTAATCCCCCCAGCAGCAACCCATCCAAACAATGGGCAAGTGACTTGAATATAAACTTGTCAAAAAGCACAAATAGCTAATAATTACATGACAGATGTTTGTCTTCTTTAGCCATTAGGGCAATACAAATCGACTTTGACATTCTATTTTATTCCACTCAGAAAAGCTATCTAAAACAGAAAAACAACATACATTGGCAAAGATAAGGGGCAAAGGAATCACTAGATATTGTTAATGGGAATGAAAGTAGCATAACCTGCTATGGAACTCAGTATGGAGGTGCCGCAAAAAGTTAAACTTGAAATTCCATATGACTCAACTATGCGTTTCCTAGGTAAACTTCCAGAGGAATACAGTACAGCACATCCTATTACAGTGATACAGCCCACATTCATGTTTATGGCAACACAATTCACGGTAGTTAACTTCTAGAAACAGCCTAGATGCCTGTCATAAAATGAATAAAGTAAATATATAGATACACAATGGAACTTTATTCAATATAATTTTACTGAGGATGAATTTGAGTTATTTGCAGGAAAACATATAGCTGTGGAGAAATAATTCTAAGTGAAATAAACCAGATGTGTATTGTGTAGTTTCCCCTACATGAGAAGGCCAATTATAAACAAAGAGTAAAAAAACTTTATAGAGTAGACAAAGGGGGTCAGGACGTGAGCATGGCATATGGGGGGAGGCAAGAGGGACTGAAAGGAATCAAGGTATGCGCTCTGTATAACAGTTCCTCAATGTAAATGTCAACAGCATGCACTGTAAACTTAGGCTGATAAAAAAGAACAATCACAGATTCAAAAACAATTTCAAATATTGCCTTTTTTTTCTCTGATACTGGGGATTGAACTCCTGGCCTTTGTACTAAGCTACATCCCCAGAAAGTTTTTATTTTTTATTTTGAGTTAGGGTTTCTATAAGTCTATCAGTTGCCTAGCCCAGGCAAAAATTTATTGATCTTTTTGCCAGTCCTCCAGAGGACTGAGAACTGAGACTGCCAGCATGTACCACCACACCTGGCTTTGCTCAGCTCTCCTTAGCTTTAATTCATATATCTAAATTTTATTTGCTTCTCTGCATACTTTAATATTTTGACTATTTTTCCTAAGTGCAAAACAGAACACACAACATTAAAACATCTGTCCAAGCAAAATAAGAAAATGGCAATATTCCAGATCTTGCATTGTTTTCCATTTACAGTCTGAAGATCTCTTTGAATTTCAAATAGCAAGATTAGATAGCTGGCATCGAGGCAGACCATGTTCCAGTGAGCCACCAAGCTTTCCCCACTACCCAGAGAGGACACCCCAGGTGCTCTCCTTGGGCTTTAGGGCTGATAAACTGTTCTTCCTTTATCACACCATGCTATCTTCTGCTTTTGTTCCTTTGATGCCCATTTGTTTTCCTCTCTGGAGAAGTTCCTACTTACTAAAGCCAATCTACTGTTATTTCTCATTGTACTATTTAAAATTTGTCACCCAACAATTAACACACAAACACATCTCAATTTCATGTCTTCCAAAATTGAAACTGCTCCAGATAAAGCTCAGTTTAGAGTTTGTCTGTGAATCACCTGAGACCAATTATTATTGCTGAATCATGTGGCCCATGTCCTAAATACATTTTGATAAACACTGGATAGGCAGAGAAAAGGCAAATCTCATTACTTAAAAACTCTAACTGGATAAACTACATAAGTACAATCATATTTGCTATTTCCAGAACTGAGCGAGTTTGTACTGTGTCAATTTGGCTAAGCCAGAAATACTTTCCCCAGAATTCCTGTCTCTATATAGTTCTGAGCCAAGGTTTTCTATAGAGCTATTTTACATAAGATCTGAAGGCCAGACAAGCAGCCCCCATTCTTTTTTTTTTTCTCTGAATTCCTTCAGGGCAGGTTTGGCTACCTTGAGTTGTGGGGATCAAACCACAGCAACCTAAGCCTGACTGCTTTGTTGAAGCTGCCACTTAAAGAACTGAGCTATGGAGCAGGCCCCCAAAAATGGAATAAAGATTTTTTTTTTTTTTGCAGCCCGCATTCTTGCGCACTGAAAGTCATCAAATGCCCAACGAATGTGCCCACTCAGAGGCACTGCCACCGACCAGATGACTCACCTTGGTGATGGTGAGCAATACCAGGGCCATGGCCTCTCCAGCCTCCCCCAGGGTGCTCTTTCAGCATCTTCAGAGGGTAAACTGGGCACTCATGTAAGACAGCAGCATATCCCACAGCTACCTCTCTGACTGAGGATAGCAGATGTGAAAGAGAGGTGTAGGTTCCAGTTTGAATGGATTCTGGTCTGGCACAACAAATTCTAGTTTTTCTTTAAGAAGTCTTCATCTTTGCCTTCCCACTTTATGTCTACCTTCCCTTACCAATTTAGTAGGAAGATCAGAAGCAGAGTGAGTGTAACCTATTCTGGAAAATCACAGTCCTTTTTTTTTTTTTTTTTTTTTTTCTCGGAATCAGGGATTGAACTCAGGTCTTTGTGCTTGCCAGGGTAGTGCTTATTCCACTGAGCCATCTCCCCAGCCTCAACAGTCCATTGTTTTTATCATTTTCCCTTCATTGGAAGAAAGTCACAGGATTCCACCTATATACAAGAGGAAAAGATTATAAAGGGCATGTCTATATAAGCAGGGATCATTGGAAGACACTTGGACACATCTTGCGTTTCATTTCAGACATACCTCTGAACCACTGGTAAGCATGTGCAGTGCAAAACCTCCCTAAAGACTAGAACTGCTACCAAGGCACCTTGGCAGGAGGTTGAGGCAGAAAGATTACAAGGTGGAGCCCAGCCTGCACAACTGAGTGACTTGGTGAGACTCCACTTTTCTGAAAAATAAAGCGGTTGGAAATGTAACTTAGTACAAAGACCCTGAGTTCAATCCCCAGCACTAGAAAATAGATGAACTTTTAAGAATATTAGGAGAATTTTCACACAGCATCTTTTAAAATTTGCAACAGTGGCTTATGATTTGTGGAGTAGATTTACTCATATGTGGAAAACCTATGAAATTTTTAAAGAATATTATCAGCTAGTGGCTGGCCAAATAAATCAGCGGATTGAAGCACCTGCATATGCAAAGGGCAGTGGCTGGGGTTCAATCCCTGGCATACCGTGCAGGCTCCACTCCCGGGGCATGAGCTGGGATGGGGATTGAAACTGGGCGTGGTGGCACTCACTTGTAATCCTAGTGCTTGGGAGACTGAAAACAGTAGGATCACTATGAGTCAAATGAGATGATAGATAGATAGATAGATAGATAGATAGATAGATAGATAGATGATAGATAGAATATTATCAGCTTATTATCAGCTTGGAATAAAGACACAGAAACAGGTTCACTGAAGGGAAGCATTACTACCATCAAATATTTACAGGCAAGAAAGTAGCAAGGAAATCTACTTAGTTGCCAATATCGGGTATGTCTTCTGGAAAGGGGAGAATGCCTCAAAGGTTGCAAGTGGCAGAGTTAAGAGCTCTGAATGCCTTGCAAGGACCAGCACCACATACCAAGCAGAGGACTACAGACTACTGGCTTCTTTGTTTTGTGCCTCCTGTTTTCCCCTCTTCTAATGCAAGTGTCTGTTGTGGATATCCTTGTTCTTGCCACCGTTCAGCGCTTTGTGCACTCATTTACTCACTTTACAGGCCTTCAAACCTATGAGAATATACCAAGGAAGTGGCTTTCCACACCCAAGTTGGACGTAAGGACAATATCCTGGCTCTTAGGCATGAGCCGGATGACAGATGTAGAGAGGTTTTTGAAAAGGAAAGAATTTATTCTGGAGATCATATTAAAATATGATCAGAAAGTGGATTAAAACTTGTTTGTAAATTCTTTGAGACTCTCTTCACTAAGAAGTCACACATATGTTCCCTGTCAGAGGGGCCCATGTTTCCACCAATAAAGTATGGAAGAAGTCATGTGACTTCAACGGGTAACTCATCCCGGATAGCGCTGCTGTCTTTGTTGGCCAGCAGACTCACTCTTGGAGCCTTTGCTGCCACAAAAGGGCTCCCCTTGAATGAAGCCATTATGTGTGAAATCCAAGCCTTAGAGAGCACATGCACAGGCAGCCTGGCCCACAGCCCTAGTCTTGGAGTAGTCTCACATCAGGCCCAAACAACACTGGGTTGTGACCATTCATTGTGATATGTAAACTTTACTGGAGTAAGAGATACCCTGCAGGGTAGTTAGACAGTCTTCTGTGTGGCCATGGAGGTGTGATCTTGGGTGCTGTACATAGGTCCTTGCACCTTCTCCTCCAGCACTGTTGCCCTGCTCTGCTTCTCGTAGATTAATCAGCTTTGCTCCTCCATGCCCTTCCACCATGATGCTTCTGCCTTGGAACGAGTTAACTATTACTGAACTCTGTGAACCGAATTAAACCTCTCTTCCTTTAAGCTGCAGGTGTCAAATGCTGTATCACAGCAGTGAGAAAGCTGAATAATATATGAAGGAACGAGGGTTTGTGCCATCCTAAAGCCTTTCCATGAGTCCCTGTCCATGTCCTCCTTTAAGTCTTGCTACCTGATGCCCCCAACACTGTGACAGAGAGGCAAAGTGCCTTTGCTGTGTATTACCTGAGTTACTCACTCATAGCATCTAGGAAAATAACAAGCAATTCTTCTAAGTAACTAAATTTTGGACTAGCATTCATTGTAACTGAGGCTAAGACAGATGAAATCATCAGAGTTAAATTGTAAGAGTTTATATTAAATACTTATGGATAATATTTAGCTTTGGGCTAATTTAAATTTCCATATGTTTGTGAGAACTGGAACACAAGTGTTTCTGGTGACTGACGATGAAAAATCTTATGCCAAAAACAATGTATGTGCATAAACCTTTTCAAACAATTATTACAATGACACATTAGTAATGATATTCTGACTCAGTATTTCAAAACCTTAAATGTGTATTTTCAAAGTACAAATGAATGATGTGTTTTATTGACCAAAATCATGCAAATATGGGCAGAGCTAGAATTCAAATACAGATCATTTTTAACAGTATTGTCTTATTTTTCTCTATTATGTTATCTTCTTTTCAGACATATTAATATTCTTAGAAAAGACTAAAAAGCCATAATTATGAAAAACTTTCTCCACCTGGAAGAAGCTGAAGAATGAAACATTAACTCTATCTTAGAAAAGAGAGATTGGGAATGACTTAATGATTAGGACTACTATGAATTTATACAGACTGGGATAATATCATGTATTTCCTTCTGTAGGTTCTATATATAAAAATTAAAATTTAAGTTAGCCTAAAAGCACACTTCATTTTGTTGAAGATTAACCTTTCATTTTATACACTGAAGTTGATAAACCATCTTTACTTGTAGACTTCGGACAAAGAAAAGACAGATACTAGATTTAATTGGTACAACTGTGCATACAGACACCAAGGATACATCAGGTTCAGCACTAAATGGTTAATAAGGCCTCTTGAATTTTAACAGAGATAATAGCAGCAGCTCCCATCTATGCAGCATTGATTATTTCACACATACTAGATAAAGGACCTTGCATAATTTTTTATAATGGTCATAGCAAGCTTTTAAAGTAGATATTACTTCGTTGTGCCTTTTTATACAAGTGAGATAACTGGTACTCAAAAAGTATATCACTTTCCCAGTTAGGAAATAGTAGAGAGAAATTTTATAATGGCTCAAGCATGTGTATTTCATCTTTATAAGGTACTCTAAAAGAAACAATAAAATCACATTTGGAGATTACATACGATGCAGTTAATCATGGGTAAAGCAGAGCTGTAGTATTTTAAACTGGTTTTCATCTCTGTATATGTAGAGTTTTAAAACTTAAAACTATTGATCCCCTTTGAGACAATTGTTGCTATTACATCTGTATAGTTCTAATATCCATCCAATACATAAATTTCTTACTGGTATATGTTGGCCATGTTAAAATATATACAAGGAAAACATATAGTCCGTACAAACAAAATGCAAATAAAATATTTTATAAAGTTTAGAAATTCTTTAAGCAGGTTATGTCAATCCTATTAAAAATGGTTCTTCTATATACAATATGCAATCTTTAAAAATACTACTCCAGGAACAAAAACTCTTTGGTTGAGCAAAAGGTCTCTTAATGTGAGAATCCATTTATTAAGGATACATTCTCTTGACCTGGGCCTCACTGTCTGGTTCAAGACTTCAGGAAGCATACAGCTGATTCTCTCTGAGTGATGAAAATATAGATGTGGAAGGGATAGAGGTCACTAGTATTATACAAAAATATAACCAAATATTTGAATAATTCTAGAATTTAGATTTTTTTTTTTTTTTACAGTCAGATTAAAAGGCACAGAGAAAGCTCAGCTTCCATCTATTTTGGAAGGAGGGTAGGAGACTGACCATGGCCAGGACATGAAAATATTCACTAGTGTCAAATTCTCAGATATCAGTGTCCAACACTATAAGGTAGGCTATTCAATTTGGAAGATTACCAGGAGGAGACAGGCAGAGGTCAGGTGCTCAGAGCAGCTCTCCAATGGCATGTGTTAAAATGATAAACATATTCATGACTCAGATATCTGTAAAAAGAGCCATTAACTCCACAGTGAATACAGTGGATTAACATATGCCAATGGGCTTCTCATTAAAAATTGATGGGGGTCATTTTGGGGGCAGCAATCAAAATTGGCTAAAATTATCTCAGTTTCAAAGAGTTGAAACAATAGATCGTATTCTCTTTATCTTTAAAAGGGAGGAAAAATCTTCACAATTTTGTTCCAGTATATTTTCTACTTTGATAGAGAAACATTTTAGTGCCGAAAATAAAACATTTTAAATTTATTATTTATTTAAAACCCATAATTTAATCATACATAATAATCACTTTTAACAAGGCTTATGAAAAAATTTCTGAGGTATCACAGCAGTCACAGGAGAAAGAAAAATTGTTTTTGCTTTATTTTTCCTAAGTTCCCCAATAGGATATAATTGCCTGGTTATATTGATTGGTTCATTTGCTCTGGGAAAAAGTACCACACTATAATCCTCAAACCCACCTTTCAGCAGACTAGCATCAGAAACATATTAGTACGCTTCTAGGCTAAAAGCAGATGAAAGTCAAGAGTTTCTACTGATTATCAAGATTTCTGCATACCCTCATGTTATGATGACACAATGCATACATGAAACTGTTGAGTGCAGGGGAAATCTTCCAAAATTCATGATATTCTTCCTTCACTTTGTATGTTTTATGTACTCAGAAGCCAAGTCATTTGTTAAACCATTTTAGGATTCAAAGGATAAAAACTATGATTAGGATGGAGTAATAGGTTTTGACAAAACTATTCCATTTCAGCAAAAATGTTCCTGATGGTGTAAAGGGAAAGGGGAAACCTTCCATTTGACACACGCGTAGGAATGGAACACACGAGTAATTCATAACATCCCGAACGCAAACGAGACATTATAATTCGGAACCACATCTGTACCACATCCTCCACTTCTTGTGCAGAGTTTTCTTTTTGTCTAATGCTCTTCCAAAAGATATTATAATACTTTGATGAGAGAAAAAAATGAGGGTTGGTTTACTGATCCTCATAGTCTTCTGTGGTGTCTTGGCAGAAGTCAGCTTCTCTTCCATCAGAAGTCTTTATCCCAGCCTGACAGCTCATCCGGAGGCACACCCTTTTCAGGAGGATATTTGTCAAAGTAGCTGTGATCTATGGGTCCACTGAGCTAGTACAGAAAGGATGAAGACAAAGGTGAGGATGATGTTGACTAAGAAGGCTATTGCACCTGGGTAGTGCTTTTTCTAGTTGACCACTGCTTTCCTACTCTAACTACTTGTAAACAACACCCAGGAGAAAGATGGCCAGTTGTCATTTCTGAGTCAGTCTCTACGTCCTTGAGCTCCCCTTTTGAACCAAATGATTCAGTGGACTGCAGCAATGACAGCTACCTGGCATGGGGAGTTACTTCATCAAGAAAATATGGCAGAAGGTATAATCTCTTTTCTAATCAAGGTAAAAAATATTTTAAGGAAAATACTTTTAAAAATCAATATTGGCTGGAAGTGCTCTTCCACACTGTAAAAGCTTCAATTTTATTTTTTTTAATTTTTAAAATATTTTATTCATTCATTTGACACAGGACTTCACTATACAGTTTGGACTCATAGTGATACTCCTGTCTCAGCCTCCCCAGCACTGGGATTACAGGTGTGTGCCACCACACCTGGTTTTGGTGGCCTGCATGACATGGGACTGGCATAGTATGTGGTACCAGGGATCTAACCCTAGTCCTTGTGCTTGGCAGGCAGGCACTCAGACTGCCTAGCTATCTCCCCAGTCCCCAAAACTTCTAAGTTTTAAGTGGCTACTCCAGCTCTATAAAATACACTGATTGAAAAAAAAAAGATGCAAATTCAAATTTTTACTGACACTTCCAAAAGAATGAAATGACTCTGGTAATAAATTACTCTGCAGATCAGGCAATCTCCAATTCTTTGCTTTCAAGCATAAATACAGGGTAGGTACCAAGTTAAATGGGTGAAAATGATTTAAATACATGTATGATATATGATCGTGTGCACAGCAGGAGGACAGGGAAAGATCATAGCCACCATGTGTGGCCAGTCACCTACTGGACAAAGTCGAGCTTCAGCTGACTTGGGGAACAATGACTCTGGAAGTACAAAGGTCAACATTTTACCATCTTTATATTTTGTCTCTGAAAGAGACCTGTCTCCTTGCACATTTGTAGCTTGAAATTTTCATTAAAGTTGAAATAGCTGAGGAGAATTCTAGTATGATGTAAACACTGACATGTTAAAATAGATTATTGCTGCTATTTAACGATTTAAGTATTTCTACTGTAATCTAAATACCACTGAGATTTGATTCTCATAAGTCACTTTAGAAATACTGCATCACTTTCTCCCTCAACTTCTGTTCCTTTTTCCCCATAAAACTCATCTTACAGTAGTTTTATGCTTGACAATCTTTTTTTATCATTTCTCAAGTGCCTTAAATTTTAGTTTTTGAAATTCTTTTTAGCATATGTGACAATAAAGTTTCTGCTAACACAAATGTTTCTTCAGAATCATTTATAATTGAACTTTGAATAGCATGCAGTGTCACATGGCACTGATAGATCACAGATTTCTAAAAGCAATTAAGAAATGATACTTCATTTGTCAGTCTGGCCAACATGACAATGTTGGGATTTAGGTGGTATAGATGGGGATTCGTTCTAGTGAGATGAGCCAAAAACCACCAGACAGGAAACACTATTTAGTCCCTAAAATCATAATTACTGTAAAAAACTTCTAATTTTTACAATTCCTATTCCGAAAACCACACAAAATCTGCTATGCGTGCATGCATGTGGGTGTACACTGTTACAGTCTATGTCTAGGTATCCCCTAAAGCTTCATTGTGGTCATAGGTAAGTCTTTTCTGAGGTGCTTGGATCTAGGGTGTGTACTGGTGGGATCAATAAAATGTGATGCTAGGATTAATTCACAGTGTAATGTTAGAATTACGTGTGTAACTGCTCCCTGCCCTAAGAGTGTGAAGCCTGGGTAAGATATAAGGGCCAGAAAAAGAGTCTTTGCTTGTTGCTGGTCGCTTCTAGCTTGCTGCTTTTGCTATCTTCTGCCTGCCATGAGCTGTCTCTCTTCAGTGATGCCCCTCTTCCATGTGCCACCCTGTCTTGGAGCTAGCTTATTATGGGCTGAAACCTCTACAAATTGTGAGCTACAAAAACTTTAACTGCCTTAACTTGTGAGTACTGGGCATTTTGTGTCAGCAATGAGAAAAGTAACTAAGATATACACTCACCATTAAAGTCTGTTTACAAAGCAAATCCCCAAAAGAAATGGCAAAATTATTACAGGAAGTATCATACCTCTCTTCGTAAAGGTGAGGGAAGATTCCGTGCTTTCAGTCCCTCCCAATTAAAACCATTTAACCATCTGAAAAATGAGAAAAGCAGAGTGGGATACTAATAAGTTAATGAATTATTGGCATACCAACATGTCATTCAGTCCATTTTGTTGCCTACTTCCTGCGTACAACAGCAGAGCCACAAATGCCACCATGGTGGGTATTGTGCTCACATTACATCTGCGCCAACTGGACTCAGGTAGGCACTTAGTGCCCACTACCTACTATCCTGCATTTCCAAGTTATATTCCCTTAACTTCACATATGCCCTTAATTCATACTTTGTCTTCTTTCTAAACTTCTGGAACATTCTTCTCATCTTCCTGATGTCTTTGTTTCTTATTTTTCTGAGAAAACTGAAGCAAAAACAAACAAAAAACTCCATCCCCTCCCACCAGTATATCTGTGTACCTACTCTCATCTCTAATACCTTCTCTCTTGCACTATGAACAAACATGAAATGTCTCTGCCTCTAGCTAAAGTCAGTTTCTCCACTGCATACTTCATCTCATCATGTCCTCCCTTGAAATTCTCTTCTCTCCTGAACCCTCTTCCCCAACTAGATCATTCTCATCCATGGAAACACATTTTCCCTACAACCAAGCACCTTCCTTTAACCTATGTTTCCCTCCAACTTACAGTCTACTTCTCCTGTCTACTGGGAGAAACTCCTTAAATGAGTTATTTAATCACTTTATCTACTCATTGTCTCACACCAAATCAAGTTTCATTCCCTCCACTCCAGTGAGTAACCTGATTTCCAGTTTGCACTTTACCTGAACTACTAGTACAGCATTGGCCATGATGGATTAATCATACTTTCTAAAATGCTTCACTTAGCTTCACATCACAGAAGTTTCATCTACTTCTTTTTCTGTCCAGAACATATCATTGTCCAGACCCTCTTATCTTCTTGAGTCTTTCTTTCATCTTGCAAAGTTGGTGTATGCCAGGGCTCACTTGACTTCTCGTCTTTTCAACTACTCTCACTTCCTGGGTAGGCCCACTCAGTCTCCAAGCATTAAATAGAATTTACATATTGATTATCCCTAAATTTCTATTTCCAACCAGGACTCCACCTCTGTATTCAATTAATGGGCTACTATCTACAATCACTATTCATTATCTCCCACGTAAATCACTAACAGGCAATTAGCCTAGGTCAAATCCAAACTGGAGCTCCAAATTTCTCCCACCAAACTTGCTTCAAACCTTCCAGTTGTTCCAACCCAAAACACTGGAGTTACTTTCTCTCATATTCATAAGCATTCATAAGTCAGTCTTTTTCTCACATTCTTGGTTCATAAACAAATCTGGTTAATGTCACCTGCAATACATAAAGTACCTGCATTCCAAATCTTATCGAGCTCAAGACCTACAATCTCCTGGGATAGAGCAAGCTATGTTTTTGTCCTGGGGAAACCATCCAGCTGCAAGCATGATCATGTAACACAACTTAGATCATGCCAAGACTTAGTCCCAAGTCTCCCTCCACCTCCGTGCTTCCCACCTCACTCAGTGTGAAAGACAGTCTTCATCACAGCTTTTCATGCCCTACAAGACCTCACAAACTACCCTGTACACTCCCACACTTCCACTCTATTACCCATGGTCTGCTTTTCTGGCCCCCTTCACTCACTCATATCTCTTCTCTTCTTTCAAGAAGCTAAAGATGCTGCCACCTTAAGGCTATATTATTCCTTCTTTCTTCAGATTTCTACATGGTTCACTCTTTAACTGGAAGCATTCTTTGACCACCTCATCTAAAATTCAAACCCCTCTTACCAGTCCCCCAATACTTATTCTTCCCTTTGTTTATTTTTTTCTCCTCATCACTTACTGCTACCTTATAAATTTCTTGACTTGGTTATCTCCTCCACTAGGACATGCACTCTGTGAAAGCAGGGTTTCCACTTCTTCCTTTTATTTTTTTGCTCCTAACATTAAAGGTAGTGTGTGATACAGATTAGGGGCTAAATAGTATTTGGTGAATGACCAAATAACTATGCAGAACACCCTTACCCAGGATCTCCTACATCACACTGTCCTAAACACACACTGTTGTGACAGTGATGGGCTTGGTGATATGAATCTCAGAAATTCCAATATAGGGAAAATTTTCAGAGGAAGTGAAATATATATTTCATGATATATAGTGAAAGTATCAGAGGAAGCAGGTGTTCAGATGAAATTGTTCCATTTATTTCTTCTGTATTATTAATCTAGAAGGGCTATGCTTGACTTTAGCATATATATCAAGCTTGATAGGTTAGAATACATCCCCAGAAGTGTGTCTTTAGCTTCTCTTGGACACAATCCACTCTGTCTCTTAGGATCTCACAAAGAACATGAAATAATATTATCTCATTTTTATTGATCTTTGCATTCCAAAAGATTGGAAAATATTTATGTTAAATCAGTATGGCCATTTTTTTAGTGTCAAAAAAGATGAAGACCCTACTTCTAAAAATACAGTAAAGTGAGTGACAGATAGTGGCCTGAATGAAAATAATGGAAGAGGTTGCTTTTAGAAAGGGTGGTGTTTAAAAAGTGATCTTGGAAGCCCAAAATGAAGATGGTGAAACCTTAGAAGGTTTGTGGTAAGGACCTCAGATAGAAGAAAGTGGAAAGTGAAAATGTAATTTTTAAAAATCTGAAAAATGTCAGAGGCTAGATCATATTAAATTGTACTCATGGTACAGTAAGGAATTGAGATGCTTTGGTGTAATGGAAAGCAATTGCAAAGTTCTGAAGAAAGGATGCAATCCTGCTTCTTTCAGGTACTTCTGGCCATGTAGAGAATAACCGGCAAGAGCCAGGATGGTCAGGTTGGTGATGATGGTTTGGATAAGACTTGAGGCACAGCTGATGAGGGAGGCTTTCTCAGCCTGCCAGCCAAACCAAAATTCTTGTCTTCATCTCCTCCCACTGGTGTTACCAGTTTCTTCTCACCCTAGATCTGGCTTTGGTTCACTCTTTGACTGGATTTCCTAATCAAAGTCTAAGTTTGGCAATAGAAAAGAAACTGAAAACAGAGGGGGCAAGTTCTAGAACATTCCATTCAGATGGCATTTTGGTAAAAACTGCTGGAATTCTCCTCAAAAACTGAGACAGGCAACAACTCTGGCTGTTTCCTTTCCCTCTACTGCCCTCGTTGTGAAACCACAGCTCTTTCCTTGATCCACCCATCATGTCTTGACACAGCCTGGCACTCTACTTTAGGGATTTCTAGGTACACAGTTCTGTGGATTCATTACTTTTGCCTCCAAACAAAGAAAAAAAAGCAATAAGTGCTCTTAACATATTTTACAATTTCTCTACCAGAAAGTACTCCACAAATACTAATAAAAATCATTCCCGTTATTCTACTGAATAAAAAGCCTGTGCATTTCTTACAGAGTACTTGTTACAATTTGACTTATGGCAATATTTACTTAGCATGAGTGGCCATTCACTTACTACTTGGCCTTTTGACATTAACCACATTTTAAGCAATGCAAGTGCCAGCATGCATTTGTCTCTGAAAAAAATTCACCAAAGAAATACTAGCATCAACAGCTCATGAATTGCTCCTTTGTTTGTAGAGGATTCTAGAAGCTATCATTGCAAGTAAAAGTAACATAAAAGTACTTGAAACAAATTATTCCTCTTTCTATCAGAAAAGGTTTAATTGTGCCCTACATGCTTATTCCTGTTCTTTTAAAATAGATATCGGGAGGCATGATTGGCCTAGTTTATAAATTAGGTTGCAAACAGGGAAGAAAGAAAATTCTTTCTTTTTTAGAAAATATGATTTTTAAGTTCATTTTAATGTGAAAAAATATTAAATAGCAATGAAACAGTTTCAAAACAGGTTAGTAGGACAGTTATAATAATTATTACATTACATATTGTTGTCTTCATAGTAGTTATTCACAGAACAAGATGCAGACATGATATCTTGTCTAAACAATATTAGTACAAACCTTTCTTCTCCATGAACTAAGAGAAAGTAGCTGTATGTCTATCCTATCTTGTATATTCATATATTTTTTCCACAACAAAATAGTCCTTTACTTATATCCCCCTTTGTGTTTTGTTTTGTCAGAGATGGGTGTCCCACTGCTGTTAGAGAAACCATATTTGGAGAAGTCTTTAAAGGACCTTTAAAAAAGATGATTTAACTTAAATCTGTATTACAACCTGTGATGCTTAACTGCAATTTATTTATTTATTTATTTATTTGTTTATTTATTTATTTATTTATTTATTTATTTATTTATTTATTTGTACTGGAGATTAAACTCAGGACCTTGAACTTGCCAGGCAAGTGCTTATTCTACTGAGCTATCTCCCTAGCCTGCATTATTTTTAAATACAAAGCTAAAGTATACAGTTCTCTAAGAAAACAAAATTTTATCTTAGAGAAGAGTAAGGAAATCTAATGCCAAAACTTATTTTTTTTAGATTTTATTTTTTTATTTTTTGTTATTAACTTTAATGAGAAAAATAGCAATGAGACAGTTTCAAAACAGGTTAGCAAGATGGTTACAATAATTAATACATTACATATTGTTTTCTTTGTAGTAGTTATTCAGAGTACAAGACGCAGCAACTACATTGAGAATAGCAATATATAATATTAGAATCATGCTTGGAATACTTATCATTCTAAATGCATACTAATGTCAAACTTTAGAATGATTCTTTTTTAATTCTAAGAATATTCTGAGTACAGTAGCTATAAGCCAGGGAACTTACAGAAGGTTTGAAAACATTTCTGTTTATTTTTTGTTATTGTTTTCTTCCTTTCTTTCTCTTTTTCTTTTTTTTTTAATACTTCTACTTGAAAAGAGAAAGAAAAGAAGGAAAGATCTATTTTTCTGTAACTCTCCCCTAACCATATAGCTTTAAAAGAATCATGCAATTAGAAAACAGAATGAAATTACATAGAGATGTCTTAATTTCTTTTTTCATTGCTGAGACAAGTTATCCCACACACAAAATTAAACGCAAAAGGTTTATTTAGCTCATAGCTTGTAGAAGTTTCAGTCCACACTTGGCTGGCTCGAAGGCAGGGTGATTTGACAAAGAAAAACAATTCATGGTGGGTAGAAGACAGCAAAAGCAACAGGCCAGACAAACCTCTTTTTTGTCCCTTATACTGTATCTATTCTACTAGGATTAGAGCAGTACAAATCCAATCAGTGGATTTATCCAGCAATCACCCAGCCTTAATCCCAGTACCCATCACCCAAGTATCATACTACAAATCCATCACACACTTTAGATTCAGCCACCTCCAAAAGAAAAAGCCCTATGACTACATGAGGCTTTAGGAGTACATCTTGACACAAGCCATAACAAACTCCTCGGAACCACCAGAAAGCAGTGTGTACATCTGATATTTTTTAGTAGTCAGTGCTACCCAAAACACTGCATTCTGATTCTTCAGCTACACACAACAAAGACACTCCTGCCTAAAGTGACTTACTAAGAAGAATAAGAAAATTATTATAGGGATAGGGAAGGAAATTCAAAATTGTTTATTCCCATGCTCTGGTGAGGTAATGCTTCAGCATCCATTTGTATGCACCTCCCATCACGATTTGATGGCTACATTTAAATGAGCTTCAAAGTAAATAAGGAAAAGATAAAGCTGGAGCTTGTTCACAATTATATCACTTGTTTCCCAACTACACCAAAGCAAAACGCCATGCAGACTTCTTAATGAGTGAAAGGGGAGCATATATTGGCAGAATCACTTTAATTGATGGGACACTTGCTTGTCTCTAGAAATGATGTGTTTATGTGTCATTTTGTAATGAGCAAAGCAGCAATAACAGTTGTGCAGGAGGAAGATAAATTGGAATCTAAGACAAATAATGGGCTTTACAATTGAAGGCAATCCAGAGGATGACAAAGAACACTCAAATACGACAAGCATTTTGATGTCGATAAATTCCACAGACGTGTCTGTCTTCTCGCCTTATTTTCTCTTTTCTCTCCCCCCCCTTTCTTCCTAATACAGCTATGGAGCAGAGCTCAACAGGCATTTGCAGTATTCAATGCATGGCTTTATTTCAACTTCATGAATACATAAAGAGCAGAGTTGGCAACTCAGAGAATTTTTTTTCTTTTTTAAAGCTATACTGTTACTATTAAGAAAAATACTGTTTCTACTTGATATTAATTTTGAAAAATAAATTTATTTATTTATTTATTTGATGTTGTACTACACAACTTGGGCTCATAGTAATCCCCCTGTCTCAGCTTCCCAAGCACTGGGATTATAAATATATGCCACCATGCCCAGTTTTGGGGCTGGCACAACACTCCTGGGTTTCTTGGGTCAACATAACATGCAGTACTGGGGATCAAACTCAGACCCTTGAGGTTGCCATGCAGGAGCTTATACTGCAAAACTATCACCCCAGCCCAATAGTGTTTCTATTTACAGCCACATCTCTCTATTTTCAGACCATATTCGTGTTCCTCTTAGACCTCTGTGGACACAGCAGTAGAAAACTGGGATGCAGTTCAGAGGCAGGGTGCATGGTTAACTTGAGAAAGGCCCTGGGTTCAACTCCAGAACCAAAAAAAGAACCTGTAGTGGAACAGCATGTTGAGGTGTCTTAATTTTTAAGTGTGATTAAATCAGTGTGTTCAAAGATTTTCAGTTAAAAATATTCAAATTTCTTTGTTCTACCATCAATGTATTCATATATGTGACATCTTCTGTAAGTTGTAGGAAAAGTGAAAATGAAAACTTCTTGTAGCCTGCAGAGCTGACTTGTGCACTTAGGCAGTACTGACTTGGAAAACGGAAATCTTAAAATGCTGAAAAGCTATATTTGAATACTGGATCAAATCAGAGAGGATGTCTTCAGGAAGCTACCAGTTCCAAAGACCATTTTGAGAAATTTACAGAACTGGAAAGGGGCATGCTAGGTAACTGCATGATAAATCTTTGTTTGAGATTTTTTGTAAATCAATATACTTCATCTAGTCAAACAAATTATATAAATATAATATATATATAGTATATATATAAAGTAAATCAAATTTCAAAACAAAATAATAGAATAAATATAATAGTTAAGACATTGAGTATCATTATCCAATAGAAGTTAATCAATATATAATATACTGGCATAAAAAATTCTCCAAATGACATTAGCACAAACCTTTCTTTGCAATGAACCAAGTGAAACTAGTAGCAAAACTATCTTGTTTTTTGTCCTTTTCCCTTCCTTTCTTTCCCCTTTCCCCTATTCTAGCTCCTTTTACCTTTTCAAAAATTTCTTCCAATTGAACATCTATTATGCATTTTGGATCTTATTTACACTTTCAGTTCCTCACATCAAGGAGACAATGTGATGTTTACACATGTGAGTCTGATTTGTTTCACTTAGGAGTGTGGTCTCAAGGTGTATCCATTTATATGTGTAAAAGTCTCAAGTTTACCCTGCTTTATGGTTGAGTAGTACTCCATTGTATAAAAAGACCATCTATATCACTGTGGCATGATGTTTATAATTCTTCTGGGAAGATAGGCAGAAGGGAAATATCTAGGTCAAATAGGACCTCTAGGCAACAAAGACAAGACAGGAGGTACCACAATCCATGACTAAAAGTTACATTACAAAGCTACTATAATAAAAATATCATGGTACTGGCAATAAAGATAGATGAACAAAGGATCAATGGGACAGATTAGAAGATGCAGACACAACTACAAACACACCCAGTCATCTTATCTTTGACAAAGCAGCCTAACATGTTCACTGGAAGAAAGATAGATTCTTTAGTAAGTAGTTCTGGAAAAACTAGCTGTCTGTATGACAGAAACTAAAACTAGACCCATGTCTATCACTATGCACTAAACTAAAATTGAAACAGATAGAAGATCTAATATTAAGACAGAAGCACTATATTTCCTGGAAGAAAAAAAAATGGGATTCTTGAAGATATTGATGTAGGCTAATATTTCATGACCAAAATCCCAGTTGCATGTGAAATACTACAAAGAATCAACAACTGGGTTCTTTTCATTTTATTTTTTTTTATTTTTATTTATTTATTTATTTATTTTTGCCATAATTTTATTGATAAACAAATAGTAATGAGACAGTTTCAAATCAAATCGGTAGGACAGTTTCAATAACTAACACGCTGCATACAATCTTCTTAGTGGTTAATTGATGTACAAGACGCAGACCTGACATCCAATTTACAAACACCATTAGAACAAATCATTCCATTCATTAAGAGAATGTAACTACATATCTATCCCAACCTCTCTGAATACACAGATACAAAATGGACATTCAACTGTATACCATTTTTTTGTTAAGTTTCGTTATTTGAATATTATAGGTGTGTAAACTCAGCAAAACATTCCAAAAGAGTCCAGCAGCCCACAATAGTATTGGGTCTTCCGCTTCACTGGAAATGTCACAAATTGATGACCTGAGTCCCTTACAGCTCAATGTAACAGCATGGCTTTACTTCTTATATTTCGTTTTTATACTTTTCTTCTGGATGGTTAAGACCAAGGTAAAGCAGGACCTATGCAACAAGAGTTGTAGCTTTTGGGTCTGAGAAGGTCAGTAAAATCCCCTCAGCATTCATCCTGAGATCCTGTACCTCAGATTGTAGAACCTTTGTCAGTGTCAGCCATGTGGATGAGTCACGGCCATTGCTTGGCCAATGTGCTCTCTGTGAAAGTCTGAGAGAATGTTTTATCTCTATGTGACTCTCCTTGGGCACACTCTACATCATCGATCACTTTCCTCTTTGGCCCCATAATCTCCTTGATCAGAAAATTTGGGACACTACTGAGTTACATGACATTACAGTACAAGTTCTCATATGTCCTGAGTCTTAATTGACCTTAGAAGGCTAGGGCTAAAATGTTGGCTTTCCTTGCAGCCCTCCTTTTTCTTTAATTTTGGTCTGCAAACTTAGGTTGTTAACCATCCAGAAGACAAGCTTATTGTTATTATCAAACAACTTAGGCTGTTAAGCTTAATCTCACTATTTGTCTGCATATCAAACATTTTAGGCATAATATGGAACAGGTATTTTTCATCAAGTATTGATATGTTGAACTTTAAGTCTCCACAGAATATGATAAAAACATTTAAAAATTAGATTATATTTTAAAAATAGGCATAAAGAATTATATACTTCTCATGTTTGCACATAAGTCCAAAAATCTCACCATATACAACCTTGAAACAGGACAGTCCCACGATTTTCCGTTTCCTCTCTCTTGCTTTCCTTCACCACTCCCTTCTTCTTGAACAACCACCTACCCAGTTCTTTTCATTTTAAAAAGCTTTTTCACAGCAGGATAAATTACCAATAGAGTAAAAAGCCCTCTAAGTAGGAAAAAAAATTAACCAGTTGTCCTTCAGACAAAGGACTAATATCTAGAACATATGAAAAACTTAACAGTATCAGACCTCCTAACACAAAGTCCCAATCCAAAAATGGCCAGCAGAGATGAATATGCGCTTCTCAGAGGAAGTGATATAGATACCAAATAAAGGTGTGAAAGAAATAGTCAACATCACTGCTCACTGAAGGGATGTCTATTAAAACAACACTGAGATTCTATCTCACTCCAGCAAAAATGGCTGTCATCAAGAAATCTACTAATAACAAATTCAAAGCATCAGAGAAGAAAAAAATTGAAAGTCTCTAAAGGGAACCTCATGGTTCATTTAGAGCAGCTCTCATGACTGTCACATTATTTTCAAAATTTCTGTATTTTTCTGAGCAAAGAAGTAGCCATGTACCTGTGTTTCTTAATGTCATTGATTCCATTCTTCAGATTTCCCAGTCTTTCTGTTGGATTTTGCCTGAAATATTTTTTAAAATATGATTATACTTGAGTAAATTTTAAATTAGAATATAATGTTATTTATTAATTCACTCATTTCACATTCAACCAGTTCCTACTGTAGATCAGACAGCTGAGTATAGGGAGTTGAAAAGATGTGGCCCACATTTTTAAATGAGCTATGAATAAAATGCTTAATAAGTACTATCATGATAACTGTTGAGAAAACCAGGGAAAGCTTTAGAGAATCATTCACATCTAGGTTGAAATTTTAGAAGCACGAGTGAATTCCTACAGACTCCCTATACCTAGGTTTTATATTCTAAATTTACTAAATTTTAATAAAGTTGAAATCTGGGGGAAACTGCAGCAGTAAAATAAAGCTGAGCAAATAATTTGAAAGTCTCCTATTTTCTGATAAATTATTTTTAACAGTAAGAAATTTGAAGTAATATAAGACTTGAAGCATACTTTAAAAAATAAGGATCAAAACAGGACATTCAGTAATATTTTATCTTTTTCCTGCAAAATAATGAGATTATGTTAACAAGCCTAAGTTTGTTTTATGGGTTTTTTTTTTGTTGTTGTTAGTTTTTGATATTTTTTTTGAAACAAGTTCTCAGTATGTAGTATTGCAGGCTGGCCGTTAACTTGCAAACTCATGATGTTCCTCATGCCTCAGTTCTGCAAGTGTTGGTATGACAGGCACATGCCACCATGGCACTAACCTAATGTCTGATTCTTTTTTTCTGCTAAAACAAATAAAGATGATTCCTGAAGGAAACTTATACAATTCCCATCTCTTTAAAGTTTTCATAGGCATTGTGATCATGTAACCTGTGATGTAAACTTAAGCTCCTTATGATACCAAGCAGACAGTAAGTATACTTAATTTTAAAATGTACAGAAACAGAATCTGGACCTTCATACTCTGTCCAAAACAATGAGCCACAAATTGTCATTCTCACCTGCAAAGCCTCCGAATCAAGTCTTCAGGTCGTCTTGTTATCTTTCTGGGAAAATCCATTTTCTCAATTCCTTTGAGAATTAAATTGTAGGTCATCATTTGGTCAATCCCAGAAAAGGGAGGGCTGGATCAAAGAACAAAAACTACACTAAGACTAGAGTCTGAGACACCTTGGGAATTCTCTTTGTTCCTTTCTCTCTTTCTACCTTCTTATCTCTTTCCCCTGTTCTTCTTCTTCCTCTCCTCCTCTTCCTTATTAGTTATTTTGTAGCAAATTCAGATATGTACTAGAAAGTCATTTCATTAATTTTCCATCACTGTAATCACACACACAGGTGTATGTCAGGTGGCCATTGTCACTAAGGAAAAAACTAAAAGAGGTACAGAGAACAGTCATTCTTTCCATATATGGAACAGGAAAAGCCACGGTACTGCACTGATAGTGGAGTGGAGGGTCTAGTGATGGACTGAGGACACCACTAGAATAAGCCACACAGCTCTCTGTGGGCAGGAGCTGGGGACAGGAAGTGCAGGGGCTGGAGACAGGAAGTACAGAGGCTGTACATGGGGATGGCCAGCACGTTCTGGTGTGGTGGGGACTGTGAGGAGGCAGAGGAGTGCGTGCAGTGAGTAAGCAGGGAGGAATGTCGGTGACACAGCAGTGTCGTATACACAGTGGGCTGCCGTAAGGCTTCAGGAAGTATTTTGAGTCAGTGATTTAGTTTATAGCAACCAGAGTCAGCATTTTAAAGGACAGAGAATAAACTGTGATGGGGGAGTAGGAAGAAGGCTTTGTAGCCTGGTGGAGGGTAGTACAGTTGAAGGTGGGAAAGTGGTGAGATGTATTTGGATTCTAGTTCTATCCAAAAAGTGAAATGGCCTGGATATTTTTGTGCCCTCAAATCCTTAAATGTGAAACTCAAATTCCAGTGCGATGGTATTTAGAGGTGGGTGTTATGGAAAGTAGTTAATTAGGTCATGAGAGTGGTGCCTCTCTAAGCAAAAGGCAGAATGCTGACTGGCCATCTTTCTATGTTATGAAGATTAAACAAGAAACTGAAGTTTGGGAGTTAGAAGAGAGATCCCCCCAGGTGCCCTGATCTTGGACTTCCAGCTTCTGAAACTGCAAGAAATGTATATTTTCTGTGTAAGCCACCCAGTTTATGGTCTTTTTTAAGAGCAGCCTGACTATGACAGATGGCTTGCCAATGGAATGTGCTGAGGGGGTGAACATGGCTTGTGGGAGAAAAAGAAGATTCAAGTGTTTGGGCCTAGATGGCTACAGAATGGAGTTGCCAGCACTCAGAGAAGGACAGGGGTGGGAGTGAGTGTGTCTGGACGTGCAGGGACCCCTCAGGCCTATGTGGTAAAGATGTGGTCACCAGTCTGGGGCACAGTTGGGAGGGGCTAGCACCTTAGGAAATGGCTTAGTTACGCAGGGTGCACTTTTGAAGAAGGGGCTCTTTCTCCCTCTATCCTTGCTCTCTATCCCTTCTTCTCTTCCTTCACCTCACCCTTCTTCCCTTCCTCTCTCCTTCCTTTCCTTCTTCCTGGACACTAGAAGTAAACAGTCCTCCTCCACCACATGCTATTGCCAAAACATACTGTCCTTCCACAGACCCAATGCAATAGGACCCTGTGGCCATAGACTGAAACCAAAATTGTGAGTCACAATAAATCTTTCTTTCCAAGAGCTTGTTTATCTCAGATAGTTTATTATAGCAACAGGAAACTACTAATACGGTAGATGTGCAGAGCAAATTATAGGGGAGGGAATTCAGAGTCACGATCTGAACATTCATATGGAGATGCCAAACAGCTCCTGGGTTCAGAGAAGAATTCAGGGTTGAAATAAGATTAAGGTCATCAGATTGTACTGATGGCTGTGCCACTTCATGTCACCCAAGGAGCAGTGAGTGGTCCAATGTTGGATTATCAGAAAGGTGAGAACATTCTAGCAATGGAGACTGAGAAAGTGTGACATGTATTGGACAAGAGGAGGGAGGTCCTAGATGACATCCTAAGAGAATATTACAAGGAAAATCTTGCTAGGATGAATAAAAAAAGACTGTGAATTGACCACTGAAATCGGATAACATTTTATTTAAAATTCTACTTTGTTTTTATAAACTTTCATGTCTATTTTCTCATCTAATTTTTAACAATTAAAGATGATTTTAACCACTCTCGCATTTCAGCCATATTTGACACCTTTTGATACCATATTGAGAGATCTTGCCATTAAGGAGAAAACTGAAACAAAGGAGGCAGGTACAGCAGTTTTTCAATACTCTATATATCATCTGTGAGAATATAAAGTAAGAAACAAAAAAATTGGTATGATATGTGTGTGTATGTGTGTGTGTGTGAGAGAGAGAGAGAGAGAGAGAGATGTACAATGATATTACTTTATTCTGTTCTTTAGTTCTTTCTTCATTTTCCTTCAGTACTTGATACCTTATAAAGTTTAGGGCATTTAAAATGAACTTTTCTCCTGCCCTACCCTGAAAACATTGCAAAAACTGTTTCCCAATTATTTTATGACACTCAATGCCACATTCGCAATTCCAAGTTATTAGACTTTCCTCCTTCCTTATTTCCTCACTTTATTTTCCTGCTTGTAATAATTTATTCCACGGGCTGAAGATGGAGATGTATATTCACCAGTTACCTACAGGAACCACCTTATATTTCTCAAAATGCCACTGGAATTTCTAAGACGATGAAATAAATTCTTGAAGTAAGTTTTCTCTCCTTTCGTTCATAATCATAAGCAATGAATGTTTGAAAATTATCACACACAGCATAAAATGGCATTTCTTCTCCGTCCAGTGCATGTGAAGAGAATGCAGGCTCAAGTTCTAGCACAGCTATTGGCAGTGTAAAAAGTTTAGCAAGAATTGGTGGGTTGGGGGCTCAGCATTAAACCATTCGTCTAACAGGCTGGGGACTCTGGCTTTAATCGCTAACAATAAAACAAAACAAAACATACAAAATGTAAGAGGAGCCCATGGAGCTCTCTTTTAGTAAAACACATGTTCAGACTTGTATCACCATCGATAGACACTTTCCAGTATTTGTTACACACTCCATATGTGAATGTTGAGGTTAAGGATGAGAATGCTGGGCTATAAAGGGTTATAAAGATGGTCATAAAACCCATTGTGCATGCTGGAAGGGACACCACGTTGAGAGCCCAAGGCTCTGGGATCAGATTACTGGGCTTACGCAGGGAACTGCTCACCTGGCTTTGTAACTCATACAATATGAACCATAAAATGACCATAAAAATTTTAAATCATAAAAAATCTCTTGCTTTATCTTCCACACAAGTCCAAGAAAACTAATTTAGAGAACACAAGTAGAAGTGCCCTATAAACTGTTTTAAAGATGTGGTTAACATTACTTCGTGTGTGTGTGTGTGTGTGTGTGTGTGTGTGTGTGTGTGTTTTAAATGTTGTGGACCTTGGACTCACTCATATAGTCTTTTAATCTCTTTGGGAAAGGCAATTCAATTTTAACTGCCAAGACACCTGCTGCGTCTTGTTCTGTTCATTAGCACCTCTAGAAATGGGTTGATGGAAGATTAAAATTTAAATCCAGCAATGTGATTTCTCTTAGCATTTCTAGCTAATTATATGTCAGGAAGATGAGAAAACAGGACTAAATATAGTTTGATTGATCAGTGGTTGAACTGCTGTAGGAAAATAGCTTTGCTCATTTATTTAAAAGAGAGCAAGAGAGAGAAATAAAATGATAATGTAGCCCCAAACATTCATTCCAAATCTTTATCCTTCTCTTTATTTTTATGTGGGATTATCAAAATCTTCCCAAACTTAACATGAGATCTATAATAATGGCTCTTAGAATTTTGGATAAAACAGTAACCCTACAGTCCATATTTATAACCCTATATTTGTGGAATCTTCTCTCCATGTGATAAACTTGTCAGACTATTAGACATGAAAGTGTAAAGTAGAAAAGTAACCAACTTAATAAGAAGTAATTCTGACATGTTTTTGAATATTTTTTAACATAAGCAAATTATTTTTGTACTTTTCTAAAGAGAAAGCTAAACAGAAGGTGAAGGTACACACTTACTTGCCTGTCAGGAGCTCATATACTAGAATTCCCAGGGACCAAAAATCCACACTGAAGTCATGTCCTTTGTTGAGAATGACTTCAGGTGCTACATACTCTGGAGTCCCACAAAATGTCCATGTTTTCTGTCCAGATCCTATTTTCTTAGCAAACCCAAAGTCAACCTGGAAAAGAATGTCAAAGAAAATTTCAGGGACAACAGAATTTATGCTCCATTCTACTCATCTTCTGCTTGCTTCACAGATCTTTCTATACTCCTACAATTTCCTTCAGTGCCTGGAGGAGCAGACACAGAAACAGACTGGGACAGGGGCAGAGGCCGAGGTTGAGACCGAGACCGAGACCAAGATAGAGACAGAGGGAAGGGAGGCTGGGCGGATATGTATCCTTTTGCAAGATAAAATGTAAATCTATTTGCTTCAGAGAAAGTTATACACATGTGTGTGTGCATATCTCTATGTTCATCTCCCCTAGAAGACAATTCAAATTGGTTGTTAAACTCCCAACAAACAGTACTCAAAATTTTTTCGATTCACTGGTGGTATTCAGTGAAAAATAGAAGTGGGGAAGTGACAGAACCCTGTGCACTTAAAGTGCCATCACTGGCATAAAAGCAACAGCAAAACTGAGTTTTGGAAAGGAACAGAAAAGGCTACTGCTCAGAGGGGAGTCTTCAGTCTCTGAAGAGGCTTTAAACTCAACGTACACAGCATCTGCCTCCTATACATTTTGGTGATCCAGAGCAAGATCAGCAGCACCATATTTTCATTTTGGCTGGGCTTCGCACATAGGCAGTCTCTCTCAGCAAGGGGGTTGGTGGGCAGTGTCTGTGTTGACTTATTTATTCTGAAAATATACATTCATCATCCACTCAAGGCCAGGCATTGTGACAGATTTATACATACAGAATTGACTCTGAGATGCTCAGAGTTCTAGGATGTTGTTGGGTGATGACCTCCAAGGCTGTCCCTAACTAGGGATTTGGAACTCTCCAGGTTAAGGATTCAGTCTCCTTTGCTCTGTCTTTTCAGGGGCCCCTTCCAATGCCCTGAGCCTGCAGCAGTGAACTGCAGAGGAGCCAGCAAAGAAGGCTGAAGCGGCAGGAGCCCCTCACTGAATTGAGGCAGTGTATGCACTGAACACCTTCCCTGCAAAAACAAACACCAAGCTCCTGGCACAGAGGTACTGAGCACGAACTTTTCATCTCTGTGATACACAGCTATTATTTTAACAAAACCACCTTCCACCCTCCTCAAGTAAACAGGCACAAATATTGTCCCTGGGCTTCAGTGTTCACATTTTAATACTTTCATTACACATGGACAATCTTAGTAAAAGGGCATTAGTCTTGACTAAAAAAATTAAATAAACAAAGTTAACATATCAAAATAAGCTCTTGCCTAAAAAAGTCAGTAAGCTATAAAATTCAGCCCTTATTTATTTATTCACACATTAACATTTAAAGTTTCAGTTTTACTTTGAATAAACCTCTTAGGAAATTCACTCTTTTACTGATACTTCTAGTACATATCGCACAACGAGAAGAATTTCCATACTGGAAAATGAGAATCTAAATAGTCTAATTTGAAGTAGGCTTTACTATTTTCTTTCATCTGTACAAAATGTTTCACAATGCTTACTTTTAAGAGACATCTGGGAATATTATAAAATTAAGATCTGTGCCCAGCTGAGATTAGCACATCTACTTATTCCACAGAGAAGGAACAATATGAAAATTGTAGCTAATTTTATAGACTGAAATTTAAGCGACAAGCAAATAATGCTTATAATTACATTTGTACATACAAATGTATAAAATATTATATTTTGTTGGTTTATAACAGCTTCTCATTTTTTAAATGCATTGAATATTCCTTTAAGTGTACTAGAAGTTCATTAGCTGCCTAGAACAGTTTTTCTAGCTCTAAAAGTGGTAATGCTTTAATTTGAATTGCTGGTTTTTCTCCTGTAATAGTTGTATAGTGGCCTAAAAGCAGGCAATAAAGATATTTCAATTTCAATATTCACGAAAATATATCTTTCTTTAATCTTTTTTGATTTTATCAATTTTTCTCTAATTCGTTTGGTTATAGCAAAACTATATTCATATCAGAGAATGACATCAAGCATAGAAAGGTAGTATCAGTGACGATAGGACATCAAACCATGACATATGCTATGAAGAAACATACAGACTTATGTAGGAACACAGAGAAGTAAAAATCGTGCTTGAAATAATGTGACTAGGATAAAACTACTCTGTGGAATCGGCATTTGAGCAGAATTGAGTAGAAATGTGAGATAAGAGAAGGGTTCTGTAGATATCTGAGGAAGAATAGTGGGGCCAACAGATCGAGCTACTCCAGAGGCCCTGAGGTGGGAAGAGGTGGCGAGCTCAAGGCCCGGTCAGAAGGCCAGAGGGGCAGGAACAGAATCTGAGCAAGAGGTAGAAGCAGCGAGAAGGGCAGATTCTGGAGTGGACTTCAAAGCCACAGGAAGAGCTTTGGGCTTTTCTTCTAAGTCATTATAAGATTAAGAAAAAGGGAAGTGGTGGCAAATGATTTATGACCTAAAGTGATCATTTCAGGAAACAAGTCTGCACAATCAGCCCCCTTATCCGCACATGCCACTAGTGAAACTAAGCTTGCAAGAAGACTTCTGGAGAAGTTACACAGAAGTCATCATTTGTCTCTATGAAATTCCCAATGATTAAAGATGACTTACATTAAACTAAAAGCTTAAAAGCATTATGTCTCCAAAGATTTTAATAAGTGAGAATATTTTAAGATACTTCCAAATCTGCAGCTGTGATTATATAATTTAGAAACAGGAAGATTATCATTGTGGCTTGCTGGAGCTGGTGTGCAGGAAGCACACACCTTTTCCCAGAAGTTTTTCTCTAGGTCAGTAAATTTGTCAGCTATTGGTTCTCCCAGTCACATAAAAATGGACACAAAATGACCAGTCTAATTAAGCCAGATGATTCATGAAGACACAACATTCCACAAAAATATTTATGTGGCATTTTTAGGGCACTTTCTTTACCCAAGTCTAGACAAGGGTGGAATGGAATCTGTTTATTCTGTCTTCCAACAACCCAAGTTGATTTAATGTCCTTCTGATACTCATGTTCACCCTCTGAAAGGGCAATGAGGGGTGGCTTCCACAAAGTGGAAGGGTTAAGGAGGGGGTCCAGGGGTCATTCCCAACATTGGCCCGTCCCTTGAGGGACAAGGTGACTCCACTGAAAGAATCCAAGTATTTAGCAGAAGTTAGGTGAGATGAAGGCCAGATCTGCATGCACAAGGGTGAACTGGAACAATCCTTTGAGGGCCACCGCTTCTTTGAATCCTTCCTTGAATTAAGAACAAATCTCTCTCTCCTGTGAGGTTCTATAACACTGTTTCTATAGCTAGGTGTATAGAAGATCTAGTTCCTTGAGACAAGACAGCCTGTCTATTAACTCTGTATTTGTAACACAGCAAGACTTATTGTGTTGGGTGAAAAAAATGAAGAAATAGCTATTATTAAGGTCATGGATACTTATTTCCAAGCTTCACAGACCCACCTTGCCATAGGTAAGGTGCAAGGAAGTAGTAGATATTTCAGGAAAAGACAACAGCATGTGTTAAGCATGTAAGTTTAGCCATTACATTATCAATACAACTGATGATACTGATGATGACTTTCCAATAGAACATGTGTTGGAACAGATCATTATTTTTATTTTTGTTTTTAAAATGTGGAATATATATATATATATATATGACAAAGTACAAGTCATAAGGCATGAAAAAAAATAAAATCCTCCCTGGACTCCCACCAGTTAAATTTCCCGCATAAAATCTCTGCTCCTCTCAGGTGGTCTTCTTTCCTATATAAAGAGGTCACCACCACCCTGACATTTGGATTTATCATTTGTTTGTACTCATCACTCATTTCTAATTTTACCACATATCTGATATTCATAAATATGATATAATTTTTATTTTTAACACTTTCAATAGATATTGTGATATAGTTTGAGAAACTGCCTTTTTCATTCAAGTGAATTTAATCCACACTGAAATCCATTTATTTTCACTGTTGTGTCACATCATTCTGCTCCAGTCGGACAGGTATCTTGTTTTCCATTTATGTCATTACAAATATATTTCAATTCACATCATTTTTCATCTTATATAATGGGCATGTATAAGACAGTAGACATCAACTCAGCATATAACATGCCCAAATTTACTAGATATTGTAAACTTACTTTTAAAAAGGATTGTTCCATATTATTTCCCTCCTCACTAATAGTGTATAAGAGCTGTGATTATCCCATATTCTGTGCATCATTTGGTAATATAAACTTTTTTACTTTTTTCATCTATGCATGTGAGGTCACTGTGGTGTTAACTTTTATTTCCTCCATTAGTACTGAGTTTGAGCTATAACATTATACACTGTTATATCATTCACTGTCACAGCTAAGAGAAATTTCCTTCCACCATGTTCTCCTTATTTGTCTTTAGAAATATCTTAGCTATTTTTGGCCCTTTGCTATTCTACATAAACTTAACCATCAGCTTTCCAAGCTTCATGAAAAGCTTTGGTTGAATCTCTCTTAGGAGTATATCAAAACTGTAGATCAACTTGCCAAATACTGGTATCTTTAGGATACTGAATCTTCCTGTGTTTAAATAGAGTGCATCATTGAGTTATCATATACAATGCCAGATACTGCAACAAATATATCAAAAAAGGTACAAAAACTTTGACTCAACATAATTTACTTCTTCCACACATAATGGTTTTCCTGAGCCGCAAATGGATCTCCTCTAACATTGGTTCAGGGATTCAGATGAAGACTCCTTCTAGCACAGTGCTCTGCCATCTTATTAACTTTTCTCATTGCTGAGACAAAATACCCAACATCCAAAATTAAAAGAAGAAGGGTCCGCCTCAGATCATGATCCACAATTCTCCAGTTCCAATAGGGTGGCGTGGCCAAGAAAGAAACCCTCCACCACAGGCAAAGGCAGAAGGCAGCCGGTGGCCACAGCCGTTGCCCTTCTGTCCCCACACTCTCTCCATGCCTCACACACTTAGGAAGAGGAGCATTCACTCCTACAGTCGGCCTTCCCATCCTCCACACCCACAGCTATGCCAGACCAGGCAG